ATGATTGACTCAAGTCATACTAATAATTGTGAATTTACCTGCCCTTTCTTCATAACTGAATCAACTGTTTATTAAAACTTTATTAGTGGTGACGTTAGAGGTTTGATTAATCATGATGGGCTCCCAAATTAATTTCTGCTCTGGGGCCTATACATTTGTACGGCCCTGGCAATAGGGGCAATGGGAGGGAGTGCGGTGGGGGGTTTTCATCATTTTGGAGCCGAATCTAATCCAGCACAGCCTACTTGTTCAGAGCTTTATGGGGGTATTATGTGATGCATGTGCCATATTGAAGAATAATACACAAACGTAGATTAATGATACCCTCCAAAAATTACAAACACAAAATGCGGAAAGGGAGAAGATATCTGGTTACGGCAGATTATAAATTCAGCCCTTTAGCAGCAGCAGTGGCTGGACGCGGGTGCGCATCATTTTGACTGGATTATTGCAGATCCTGATGACCACAGGCACCCAGAGTTGAAAGTTGAAGCGGTCACTGGGAGGTCACGCCGGATTCCTCCGTTTCACGCAGCTCCAATCCTGCGCAACAGCGATCATGCTTACTTCTGTCTTTTCTGTTTATCTTTAGTGGTCCGTTCATAAACTCTCTTCAATTAATAATTTACACAAAAATGAAATGATGCCGCCCACATTGCAGGATGATGACACACTGGCAGGTGGCCTTAAATAGGCAGCTATTAAGCGTAAATCGAGCTATTAAGTTCATTTGTACTGTAATGACGAAACATTAGACAAGGCTGCTTTACACTTAAACATGTGATGAATAAAAGAAGCGGAGATATTGGGTCAAAATGACGCGCGTAAAATCTGTCTTTACGCACAATCGCTTTTCGTTTTTTGTCCTCTCTAACCTCCATTATCTCTCTCTCGCTCAAAAAAAAAAGCACCACAGCATTACATACCGTGTACAAGCAGATACCGATTCCCGCTGAATGATCTCAGTTACCGCAGCTCGGCGCACAGCTCCTTCCTCAAAGCGCGACAAGCGGCTGCCTCAGAGAGCGCGCCGCCGCTCCGAGACTCTCGACTGGCTCTCCGCGTCTTCTGTGCCCGGGAGCGCGTGCACAACCATCCGTGCGCGTTCCTGTAAGATAAAATCCGAGAAGTTCAAGCTGTTGCGATATGTCTGTCTGTCTATGTCTATATTTAATCACTTTTTATGCAGAATTTTTTGGTATTTTCTTAAAATTACAATTCACAAACAACAGTCGTCATGGAGAATTTGATGCGTCCCAGCAACATGTGCACCGTGGCCATGTTTCAGATGCATTACGTGCCATTTTTTTCAGTCCTCCTCCAGCAACAATGTGCAACAGTTAAACAAAGTTTAACTTTCGTCTAAACTGCATTATTATCAGTAGTACATACAAATATGTTTGAACAGACTACCGTGACTCTAACTGCCTATCGATAGCCAACATACACCATCAGATCAAAAACATTTGTTTACATGAAACCTAAATATATTGCATGGATACATAAGGTTGCATGTGGTTTATTTGACACTGATCTCACTCCATAAGATTGCTCTTTCTGTTTTGATTTCTCCAAAAGGGGCGAATATGTTGACGTTTGATAGTTTGTGTTCAAAACATTTTTTTGTGACAAACTCTTTTCCGACTTCACAAAAAGTTCCTAAATTACAGTTTTCTTTGCTGGAAACTATTAAACTACCGTGGAAAAATAATTAAAAAATATATTAGAAGGTTTATATTCTAAATGATTTAATGTTTTAAAAATAAACATTGGACAGATTAAGCAGTTGAACATCTGTCCATCACAAACGCCAACTTCGAAATAAAACCGCAGGCGGGTTTTTAGTTATATTTTGCACATTTTTATTGTCTAAAAAAATTATTTTCAAACAACTGGACTCATTAAATATAAATAAAATTAATTGTCTTGTTGTTTAATAAAAAAACTAAAAAGTTAAATTTGTTTCTCAAAACTCAAAATGATATGAAAGTTATAGAAATATAAATATTTACTGAAATTAAAACATGCAGTAAGTCTTCATTTATCACGGCTGATAAATGATTTAGTTTATTTTTGTTTGTCTTAAAGTTTTATTAGCTCTCCAAATAAGAAAAGAAAGGAAAAAATTAATTTCAAATAAAAATAGTGGTTAAATAAAGAACAACATCTTTATGTAAGTACTATTTTTATGCCTTCAATGTAAACATCTTGAAACATTCACTCAATGTTCAATATAAATGTTTTTCTTTCTAATGAAATCTAGTGAATAATAATAATAATAAAAAATCAGCTCAACAGCATACCTGAAAGGAGGTGGCTGTGGCCTCTGAAAGGCTCATTATTGGCCCATCGTGGCTTCAGCTGACTCCATCCTCTGTTCTCTGTCTGGAGGAAGTGGTGAAGGGGTCCCAGACCTCCTGCACTCAGCAGGGCTGTCTCACACACCTTCAGTCCGGCCAGAGTGAGTTGTGCATGTGTGTATTTGTGTGTGTGTGTGTCTGTGTGGCAATAAAGGGCAAGGTCAACCCATTTCTCTGCAAACAATCACATCACACAGGGCAAAATACATTCCAACAGCCTCCCTCCCCCTCCTTTGTAAGGTGGCCTGATGTGGGAACAGCGGATGGTGGAGAAGGTCTGGGCATCTGGCCAGACGGGCCCCTCTGAGTCCAGATGAAGGTAAACCTGCTCTACATTATAATGCATTTATTTCACACAAGTTGGGGGGGAATGCTGCTTCCAATACTGGCCTACTTAAAGTCCTTTTAGCATATCGCTTCACTCTCCAACCTGTTGCTAATGTAGATTCAGATCAGAGTCCTGTGTGATGTCAGATGACCCGAGTCAGGTACTTTTAAAACTTTTACTCAATCACAAATGTTATGCCATTTGCTGGCTGAATCAGTTTCATCTCATAAATTTAACAAAATATCGATTTTAATGCAGTACAAAATATATTTCCAGATTATTTGGGGGATTTTATTATTTCTGGCAGTGGACATTATTTTTAAAAAAAGCATATTACTAAGCATTTCTTTCATAATTATTTGTTATTCAACTCTTCGGAGATGTTGCATATTAAAAATAAGATGAAAGCCTTTGACAAAGTGTTTGTTTTCTGAGCGTGAGAGAACTAACTGATCCTCTGTCTTTTTATCGTTTACTACTGATATCATAGCTCCCTCTAGTGGCTTTATCACAGAGCTGCCTCCAGAATAAAAATACATTTTTACAAAATCTAAATGCACATTACTTTCGTTCATCCCAGAGATACAGTTGTGGTCATAAGTTTACATACATCCATCAAGGACATTCCACATTGGCCTTTTAAGGGGCTACAAATATTTTCAATGAAGTATAAAAATAAAAGCTGGTTGTACAACTTTTTAAACAAAATTTACTAAACCACAAATGGTCAAAGTTTATAGATATGTTAGCAAACTTACATCGCTCTAATATTCAAATAAAATCTCAGAAGCAAGGTTCACAGTAATTACATGATTTAGGAGCCTTAAACAAGCTGACCTCTCTTCTTGTCAGTTTATTTCAACTGTCATCTTTTTTTAAGCATAGCAACATTTTTTTGTGCTCATAAATGTCCCAAATATTTGATATTTGCTGCTTTACCTATTCCCAAAACAGATTTGACAAATGTTGTGTTGCAAAACTCAGCTATGCCCAAGCGTCCAACATCTCACCTATACTGTAACATTTACATGAAAGAAAATTGATTAGAATGATCAGAAGTTATCCAGTTATCACCAAATGTCAGACACCGGAAAGTTTAGGCACTCCAGTATCTCCACAGTGAATTCGAAAATAAACTCTAATCAATTTGCCCACAATAACAAGAAATAAGTTTTAACAACGCAAGATGAGACTTTCTACAAAAAAAAAAAAACAAAAAAACAGTTAGCAGGGATAAAGTTATATATTTTATCCTATATTGCACCATTTGGAGTAAAGAAGATACTTAATTTCAAATCTTTGCATCAATCTCTTATTTTTCATGTTAATTATTCGCTCCCTAAAAAATAAAAAATAATATTACATCTCCAAGTACGATGAGTTTAAATAAACCTTGGACCAGTAATGTGTCTCTTATTTCAGGCTACAAGCAACACAATACGTTGACGTTTAAACCTCTGGGCGCAGCGACTGTATTTTCTAACATTTTAATCCAGCAGAGTAACATCAGACTGTGTTGAAGACTGAGCAGTGCAGTGCAGATGCATCCATGTGGGAATATTAACATTTAGGAGAACGGTGTGTCTCTGCCCTCAGCGCTGCCCGTCACTCACAGGCGACACACTCAAATGCTAGGTGACCTTTACGTTACGCACCGGGTGACAAGAAATTAGACCTTGAGGGCTTCCAGAGGAAAGCATCATCTCCAAACATCTCTTTCTAAATATTGCATAAAAGCAAATCAATTCACTTTCACAAAGATATGATCATCCAGTCAGGTCCTGTCAGTCATTTCCTTTAAGCTTAACTAAGTTTCTTCATCTTCACACCAAGATTCTCCTTTGGCCTGTCTGAGCACCTGGAGGGGATTCATTTCATAAAAGCCAAAACCAATTTCCACATAGTTGACATTTCACAAGGCCTCATGGCCTTTAATACAATTTAAACTGTTCAGTGGAGATGCTTTTGCTGTCCAGCAGCTGAACCGGAGGACAGAAGCTGAAGTGGACATGTTGGGTTTTAAGGCATTTTACCTGATAGACTTTGCACTGCATGTGTGAAATACTTCACTTAACACAGCCTCTGGTCGGCACAGAGGCATCTGTATGCCTGTTTGCGCCCACACACTGTGCATGTGTAAAAGGGCAAATTTATTGTTCGCTCTGACCTCTTGTCCAGCAGCATTTGTCTTTTAGAGACCAAACACATAAAGGTCAAGACGCCATTCACTCAGTCAAATTGTGTTTTAGAAAACTTTGGTCCGACATGTGCCATCATAAAGACTTGATCAGAAACAGCCCAAACAAGAAAAATATAAAGCATTATTTAATATTAGAGAAAGAACTACCATGACATGCAGGTAGATAAGTGCACACACTTCAGAGAATGGAAACAGGAATGAACACAGTACCACATCAATGAAGCATCAGCATACGCTAGTGTAGCAACACTGAGCACATGAGGAAGGTATAGTTAACCACCGTGAAAGATTAGTCAAAACTATACCAAAAAAACAACAACATACACACACATACATGCACGTACTAATGCAAAGTGCAGAATTACAGTTCAAAGGTAGTGGCAAAAACGTCCCACGTAATGCTGCAAAACAACAATCACATTTCCATTTCCAAAGCAGCTGATGCAATCATGAGCTGTGGTTTGATACCAGCAGGATGTTTTACAAGTACCACTGCAGCACTGCAGCATTCTCATGGTACCGAGCTTCAACCTTCAAACGGACTCACAGTTAACCGACAGTTGATCTTCAAGCAGAAATAATAAAAAAAAAACAGAAACAGAGCAAATACATGAAAGCTGTTAAGAATACAAATGAGTAAAGCATAACTATATGCAGATTTTGTTATTGTTTCTTTGTGAGAATGTGTTTCAGGAATGAATGACTGGAAAACACTGCTGGCATGCGTGAAACAAAGTGTGAAAATAAGCTGATAGTATATTTTTGAGATGTCTGAATATAAAAAAACCAAATTTTTTAGAAGTGTTAAAATTCCTTTAAACATTTTGTTTAATAACTGTCTTGCAAAGCACAGTCCATGTGTCAATGATTCGAATATGAGGCCAAGTGCAGGAGTCTGAAAGCATGTGCCGCCATTTTTAAGTTTAAAAAAAAAAAGGAAAACTAACAAGATTATTCAAGTTTTCAGTGGAAGTTGCACTAAAATACTCCATCACTCCTTTTCACAGTCCTTGGACCAATAAAAACAGTTCCTTTCCTCCTTCCAGGTGGGTGCATCCTTCGTCTGCAAAGCAGTATCACCACCAGCAGGTGGACCCAAACTCATACAATAGAACTCAGGTGTCAAACTCCAGTTCTCAAGCGACACTGTCCTGCAGTTTTTAGATGTGCCACAGATACAAAACACTGGAATAAAATGGCTTAATTACCTCCTTCTTATGTAGATAAGTTCTCCAGAGCCTTGCTAATGACCTAATTATTATATTCAGGTGTGGCGCAGCAGAGCCACATCTAAAAGTTGCAGGACACTGGCCCTTGAGGACTGGAGTTTGACACTTTGGCCATAGACACATCGTCTCTTCATTAGCAGGGTATACCACCATTATCAGTAACATTCATCACTTAAAAAGGTACCAACACTTTAGTCCACACCAGAGTCTGCACAGACCGCTCAGCGTTACACGTCTGTTGTGCGGATGCTGTCGTCATCCAGGCTGAAGGGGAAGGAGGAGTGATGCTGAGGGTGCGAGCGGTGCCGCCGCCGGCCGCTAGCGGCGTCTGCCGATGCTGTGAGCATCCCCAGCCCGCTGATCGAAGGCACCTGGGACGCACTGGGACACGGGGTTGGCGTGGACAAGGAGTTGGAGGAGGATGATGTGGATGAGGAAGTGGACGAGGAGGAGAGAGAAGGCAGAGTGGGGACAGGACTGAACGGGCTGTCTTCGTCCTCCATGTCCATGATGGACGGCTCACCAGGAGGAACGGGGGTCCATGGCTGCCAGCCTGGAGCCACAGAGCAGGACTTGACCAGCTGGGGCCGTGCCTCGTTACTCTGCTGACGAGAGGCACCGCTGGGATTGTGCTTTTGATGGAGAGACGACACTCGCTTAAACTGAAACAAAGAGTGAAAATAAGCTGACAGTATATTTTTGAGATGTCTGAATATAAAAAAACATAAATTTTAATTAGAAGACAACAAAACGGGAGACGATCACTATTCATGACTAAAAGCTTCACTCTCCATGTATATGGTGATGCACAAAAACTTATTCCTGCCCCTCGACTTTTCACACTTTGTAATGTTACATCCACAACATTCCCTGTATTTTAGATTTTTGATAATTGCGACTCATCTTTAAAATAATTATCTTATAAATTATCCTATAAACTTTGAATGCAGAACTTAATTGTTTAAAAATTTTGCCCAATTTGTTTTGGTAAGATAGAACAACTTCTGTCACCTGGGTTCAAAATAAATTTTCAGAAAGATTGTTAGATTGTTTGGTCAAAAAGCAATTTTTAAGTCCTCATTGCTATGCTTTGGTCTAAATAGTTACATTGTAGTTTGTTCATGATGTTGTTGCTAAGCCCCTTCCTCCGGTATAATTTTCTTTTTCCAGGACTGCCCAGTATTTAGCAGCATCTCCTTTCCTATGAACTCTGATGATCTTCTCAGTTCCTGCAGATGAAATCCATTCCCATGGCATGACACTGCCACCTCTGTGTTTGCCCCCCGAAGATCATGTAACTTTTGACCTGACTTCTAAAGACAGCGAGTGTCTCTGGCTCAAGACACATAAACATAAAAGGGTGAAAGAAATCTGGGTTACCTGTGGAGGTCCTCTGAATTCCCGAATTTTCATGTCAATATCCCTGATCCAACCTTGCATTTCCTCCGGGGTGTCTGTCTGTAAAAACACCAGAAGATAAACAAAGAGCAGAATGTCAGAAATTATGTTCATATCTGCTGATGACCATCGCCTGCATTCACAATCAACCTAAGTAATGCTTAAAACATTTTAAAAAAATGTTTCACTCTTTTTATGCTTCTTCTGCTTGAAGTTGAATTAACAGTTTAATAAACAGCTTTTTGATCATGATAAGGCATATAAAAAATACGTTTTATTGGATCAAAACACACAAATTGCAGTTTTCATACCGATTTGCTCTAGCAGTTAAAAAAAGGTATATTCTGTAAACTCAATGGATGTTATTTTACACTTTTTTGCATTTTATACATTGACTGGGTTACTACATGTGCAAGCTGAGGGGTATGTGCCCTGGGTAAATGGGAGCAAGTTATATTTCATTGTGATCCATTTTATTTCATATCCACCAGTCGAGGTATTTCAATATAGATTTCTGACGCAGTTTAGTTCTAAAATTATAATATTTATAAATAGGGAAAAAAGAACCAATTTGGCCTTATAGTGACATACAAGTCCAAATGACAAATTTTGTCCAAATTTGTCATTTGTCTAAATGACAAATTTTCTCTCTCTGTCTTCTCTCTCCTCCTCGTCCACCTTGGCTGATAAAAAAAAAACCCTTTGCAATAAAATTTGTAACAATAGCCTTAAATGTTATTTTTTAACAATTCAAGGACAAACCTTTTAAAACTTTCACAAGCAAATTCATAATTTGTTCCACTCACAGTGTAGCAAATTATGTGTATCGTATTTATCAGAATAAAAGTTTTGCAAAAACCGAATTTACCTTCAGGTTTTCCCCATCATGTCTTTAGGCTGTACCATTGATTTCCATTTCATTTGTTTTTGTTTATCTGAGATCACCAAGTCTTTTTTTCACACTTCCTTTTTTCTCTGTCTCTCTAATCACAAACAGCGCTCGCCTGTCTCGTTCTTTCCCTCCACTTCCCATCTGATCCGGTGCTGACGCCTCGGTCAGCTGCTCTCCCAGGGGGAGGAACAGGATATTATTGCTGTTATGGTAACACATGGCTGCGTCCGATTCTCAAAAACAAATTGTTGAAGGAGCCAAAAAAAAAGGAGCCTGGGCCACACATCAGCAGCAGAGCATTTCAAGACAAACATTTCAAAACGTCAACACAGAAACACCTGGGCCAATGATTCACAGAGAATCATTGGCTTTATAAATAGTGCAACCTATTTGCACCCCTTGCAAATAGTTACAACCACAACCTTGAAAGTTTTTCATTGGAATTTTATGTGATACAAACACGTAAACCTCTCTGAATTGTTTACACCAAGTCACTTAAATCCACATAGATTGTCATGAAATTGTTAGACTGGATCACGATCATCTGTGATCCAGTTTGAAATGTTGCCACTGGTTTGTGATTGGATTTGGGTCTGGGCTTTGACTGGGCGGTTCTGACATAAACATGCTGAGGATGTTCAACTGAAGGTCTGTAGGGATGATGAAGGTCACAGTAGGCGTGCAGCAGAGCCATACTCTTTCATTTTTCAGACGATCGATTGAACAGAGATCTGTGAGGTAATCCAAGCTTTGGATTTGTTTTATATCCAACCTTCTCCCTGAGAAAGTGTGTTTTTAGTCTTCATGTTGCTTTTTATTTCAATACAAATCCACACCACAGATTGCTTTTTTATATATATATATATAAAACCATGAAAAAAAGGTATAATTTTCCTTCCGCTTAACAATTGTGCACTACTTTGTATTGGTCTATCAATTAAAATCCCATCATGCATTGAGGTTTGTGGCTGTGATTTGACAAAATGTGAAAGTTCAAAACTTTTGGAAGGCACTGTACTTTTTTCTTTCTTCTTTTGTTTTTACCTGGATGTAGAAAGTTCGGGAGTTGGTGATGATCTCAAATAGATTGTCTCTAAACAAAAGGTCCCTGATGGAAAAGAGAAAAGGTTTAAGTTCATTATTCTTTTATAAATCATAAAGAAAATTGTTTTATCTCAAACATTTCACTCTTTAAGTTTACCTGAAAAATACTATTTACCATGAACAAAAACCAGATCAGCTAATCAACTACTATCATAGATGAACATCTGAGACACAGTCTCAATAAACATAATATGTCAGTTATAGGGTAAAACTGAGTTTTAATAATTAAATTGTGATGAGAAAGTAGCATTTATTTGCAGTGTTTGGATGAAAACTGGAATAATTCTTGATCTGCTGCGCTTAGCTCCAGTGATGGAAACCAACTCCTGTGCAAGAAGATTCAAGCCTCTTCCGAAACAAAGTTTTGGGGGGATAAAAACAATTGTATTTACTGAAACTTTCCAGAGATGAAAACGTAATTATGTTTGTTTATATCCGGTTGATAAACAGATTGGTAAAAAACCCAATCTGACCGGACTGAATGAGTCTGATTGTTTCGTGACTCACCCTGACTTGACGAGGCATTCATGGACCTTTTGAATGTCTCTGAGTGGAATACTGCGGAGAGGCTCCTTGTCCTGGCACATAAGCAGACACAAACCACAGTCACGCCGAGAGCGTCAACAGGAAATCAAAATATAAATGAAAATCATGCTGGCTCGTCACCGTGTCAGACTTGTAGTAGCTGACTGCATTGTCGCCCAGGGTGAAAAAACGCCTCTTCCAGCTCTTCCTCTGCAAATGCACAACACATCCTCTTTTTTTTCCACTTTTTTTGAGTTTTTGCTGAAGAGAATATCGCTGGCTATCAGGCAGAGCACTCACCACATTTCCTTGTTTGACACAGAAACCACATCTCAGCACACCAGGCCTGTTTCCCTTCTTCTCCTTCCCCTCCGTCTCTTCGGTTTCATTCTGAAAGATTTCATCAGAGTGATCTCTTATCAGCGTCATTGTGGTAGCCGCCTTCAGATAAACTCTTCAATCACTACAAGTTTCTGGTGATCACCAGAAACTACATATATTTAGCAATGTAGTTTAGCTAAAGCTATTTAGCATATAAACATATCTACAGCTAAGTCAAGCAATTATTTATTCAGGTTTAAATTTGATCAATAAGCCTTTCCCTACTGGAAGAGACATTAACATTTTAAAATGGCCCAAACCAAAATCCAACCTCGAATCTGAATGAGAATCTGAGAAAGGAGCAAAAGATTAGGGTGAAGTCTAATGAGGCCTTCCAACGTCAAAGACAAAGGAATCATCAACAAAAATAAAGTGCAAAAATGTCAGTGGAAACTCACAAAAAGATGATCCTTATCTATTGACGTGCCATTAAATATAAATAAAAATAGGTGTTCTTTTTTATTCCAAAAGAGTTTTTACTTTTTTGACAGATACCTGTCTAGTTTCCTGCCAGAAAAAAATTCTTGGTTAAGTAAAAATAACTTTCATTCAGGTTGATTTTAGGAAACCATGCTCTTTAAATGCTATTGCCAAATGATTATCTCCATTATAGTTAACTCATAATATTAGACTGTGATTCAATATGTTGCATAACTCTAGTTTTAACTGTAAATCTTACATTGGTTTGACTGAATACAGACTTCAGTTTATAGTCTGTATCACCCTTTTGGAGTGATTACAGCTCAGATCTCGGTCTTACCTGGATTGGAGTATGGACCACCACACCTCCAATGATCTCCGTCTTATAGGCCTGTTGTTTCCTCCCTCCCTGAGAGTCACTGATCACGGCGCTAGCATCAGATTTGGGAGGCGCCGGGCAGGATTTAGGAACCTGCCAAAAGGTAGGACAGTACAAGCAATTCAGGTGTCAACGTTCAGGAGAAAATGCATGTGAAAGCCAGATGTGTGCCTATCTTCAAAATGTACAACAGAAAATATATGCAAGAAACTGGCCATTACTTCCAGCCTTAAAAGACAGAAACAGATGCAAATTTATCATTTTTAAACAGGTAATATCAATTGTACTAAGCAATACTCAAGTTAATTTTTGGAGCACCAATTTCTTCTCCTTAACAAAAAGACCATTTCCTTCTTTCTGGAGCTTTAAAACTTATAAACATCACGAGTTAGAAGTCCCTCACAAAGGGAAAATTTAATAGAACCATATTATTTTTAGCAAGATTTTTGCAATGTGAGAGTGAACATGCTGTAACTAAACAGTGGGAACCTGAGTGTACGCCCAGTGGTCAAATCAAGAATAAACAGTCTCCTCAGATTTATCTGACATAGCAGAAAAGTGGTGAAAAGTCACCTTGGATAAAAGGAGAGTGATGAGCAAATTGTACTCTTTAGTCCCATTAGAACTGTTAAAAAACAACTATGCTGTAAACCAACACAAAATGGTACATAAGAGCTGGGTTCATTTTCTACAAATAAAGTTGTTAAAAGTCTGGAAACTTTGTAGTCATTCCCCTTTACTCTAGTCTCCCAAATAAAATCCTGTGCTTGGTACAACCACCCCCCCCCAAAAAAAAATCTTGTGTATAAATTAATCTCAGTATTAATCCGGTTGTTCTGTGAAGGCATCAGAGAGGACATTGGTGAACAAACAACATCATGAAGACTAAGGAAACCAGCTGAGAGTTAGGTTATGAAACTAAATCTCAAGCTCTGAAAATAAATTTACCGTCTCAGAACAGAAAGAGTGTGGAAAAGCCACAAATTTAGCAAGGCATGGCCATCCACCCAACAGGACAAGCTGGCAAAGGAGTGCAGAGAAACAGCCATGTAGCTCAGAGTAGCTCTGCAAGAACTTCAGAAATCCACTGTTAGGATGACTTGAAGAATGCACAAAAGTAGCAATCACTGACAGAAAGTTGTCAAAAGACCTGTTTGCACCGCAGTTCACCACAAGTGATGTGGACGATACAGCAAACGTGGCAGAAGTTGCGTGTGTCAGATTAGATCAAAATAAACGTTTTTTTAACCAACATGCAAAATTGCATGTGTGTGAGATCACTAGTACTGCACATTCCCACGGTGAAACACGGTAGTGGCAGCATCATGCTGTGGAGATGCTTTTCCTAAGCTGATTGGATGAGGATAAAAAACACCGAAAGTTTATGGATGCGATATGAACAAAATGACACAGCAGATATTTCTATTTCAACCACAACATGCAGATCATACAGCAAGAATGCATTTTCTGATCTAATGTGTTTTATTTAACAGTTGTTGTTAGGACCCACTGCAAGTGCAGATGTTACATAATGGAAAATGTTACCAACTTTAGAAAATAAAAGATTTGTGCTGTATGACAGGGATCTGCAAGAGGCGTATCTTGTTGTCAAAACTTGGAGCTTTACAAAACCCAACAACAAAAAAAAGTCACATAAACAGTTTTTCTTTCCTACTCTATCAACCGTCTTAATTTTGACGTCACCCAGGATCAGGGTCCTCATCTAAGTCTACAAAAATATACGCGCCTCTACCACAGAGAACAAGATAAAAATATGAATGATGATTTAATGAGTCAAACATTAACCACTGCATTATTTTCACAAGTCATTTCCTTTTTAGGGCTGCGCTAACATCCCGTCCCTTGTGCCTCGTACGACTTTTTTCATTGAGGCCAAGACTGCTCAGGAAGAAGGCAGCAGCAAAGAAGCAGAGCAGACGCCACCCCCAACGACGGGGAAGTGAAAGAGAGAGCAAGCGATGTTGCTTCCTGTGTCGGCGAGCAGGTGAGCGCGCAGCAGCAACGCTCTCCTCTCTGGCACCTGCGGGTGCCATCGTCAGACATCTGGACGCCGCTGGTCACAAAAGCCTCCCCCTTCCAGCTGAATACACAAATATTATGCAAACGTACAAAGTAGATGTTAACACCTCCACCGCATTGACGTCTGAGTGTTATCTCTGCTGCTGTCACGCATTCACAATTTCCCCATTCAGTCAGTGTAACAGAGGGCATCTGTGGTGGCATCCGCAAAACTGTTGGGCCCAAACTGGTTTTGGAGCTGCCCTCCATCAATACGTCATTATACGTCGTTATATAGGCCGATATATAATGGGGCGATGTGTGATGTGTGTCAGCATGTACACGTGTTGCTCTCACGGTGATTTTGCTGGCCTTGTTGAGAGCATCCACCCAGTCCCTCATGTCGACTGCATCATTGGCTTGAAGGTAGTACCGCCGTGAAACTGCATTTATGACTGCCAAAAACATAAAATGAAAAACACAACAGAGAGGAGTTCATGAAATCCACAGCGACCGCCCTCGGGGGATTTTCTCATGAGTAACAAAAATTAAAGCAGTTGTGTAACGCCGCACATGCACGAGTCATCGTTTCACGACTCCAAGATGAAACTCACCGAAGCAGAACTCGGTCTTCGGTTTTTGCTTTGCAGTGGCTTCACTCACCTGAGAAAAGAAAAAGGCAGGAAAAAAGAAGACAGAAGAAAAGAAAGGAGAAGAGAAGAGAAGAGAGGAATCTTTGATGTCAGGGAAGCCAGATGTCATTATCTGTGCGAGCAAACTAACATCTGGAAAACTTCACATCGCTGCTGCATGTGACTGCAAACTGGAACTGCAGATAACCCTGAATTCTTGAGTATCTCAGAAGCCTTGAGTGAATTTCCACATTATTCGTGGGTGTAGTGAGAACAAACACTACAGACCTGACCTCTGACTCACAAGAACTGCTTTAAGTCTTTTAAGAATACTTTTGATGGATAACAGATTCAACCACAACAACCTCTTCCCTCATGTCTATAGCATTCTGAATATTTTCCTGCAGACACTTTGTAAAGATCTTAGTTAGATAAATCAGAATATATGAAAGGTTGTTTAACTCATCAGTCTTAGGAGTGCAATAGAAAAGAAATATTTTTGTTGTTAGCTGTCTAGTGTGACACACATTTCCAGAAGTTCGCCTCCGATTGGCTGATCAGGCCCTTGTGACGACTCCTATGTGGAGTCTCCCAGCTCCAAAGCAGGCAATACCACAGAAGAAGAAAAGAACATGTAGAAGACAAAAAGAAGCCGAATCAACTTTTTCAGATGCACAAGTTTATTTGCATTGCACGCTTTGCTATGCTCATTTAAATTTATGTGAAGTTCCTCCAATAATTTCCTTTGGGGTTTTTCTTCAACTTAGATGACAGTTCTTACAGCATGTCGCTCTGCTCCAAATGCTCCAAATTAAAAGTGAGAGGGCTTCAGACATCCCAAAAGCCAAGACCTGGATGCCAGAAGCTGACTTATTGTCTTTTTAGATAACTTACAGCTATCTAAAAAGAAAATTGTCCCTGGGGTGAGGTTTCTATAAATAGACGGTGGATTCGGTGCTATAAACACAAACTGCATGACACCTGCATGTGTTCACATGTCATTGCTGCAGGTTGGTAGGTCTGAGCAGCTGGCAGGGTCCACCTGAATACTGCAAAGTCGTGCAAAGTTTACTGCTGTATCAGATATCTGACTGTCTGGTTGAACACAACAGGTTGAGAAGAAGCCTCTTATTTCCACATCAAACTAGTCTGAGAAGGCTGAACTGGATCAAACCAACTCAATGGTGAAGGGAGGTGAAATAAAACAAATCAGATCATTCCCAAGATATATTATTAACTTACTAGCTAAAAGAGTACGAGAATCAACGATGCTTTGTCACATAACTGAATGCAGGATGGGATCAAAGAAAACAATCAAGAAGCATCGACTCATTACTGTAATGCAATCAATCTGAGCCATGCTAAATAAAGTTATCTCCTCGCTTTTTCACTTTTGCATTATTGATTGTTCAAAGGGGAGGAAATGCTTCAGATAAATGTTTAGTAGATTATAGAGCTGTTTAAGTACAGTAATATAGTTGAAGGTAGCCTGCATGGGCATTATATAAATTCCTGACTGTAGTCCAAAAATGTCTCAAAACATTTTTTTACCTTAGAGATGTAGGTTAATCTCAGGTTGCCAACAAAGCTGGCTCCGCTGGCCAGGTTCTGCATACAAACAGAGCAGTCATTAGCTCAGAGTCCAAGGTCCCACGGCCTTATATTGATCATTTTTTATTTCCTCCTGCTGCTTGTGCAAATGTTCTTCCAGTTTGGTTGTGTGTGAGCACCTGTGGATTGTCCATGTACCATTGCAGGACATTCCCCTGCGTGTCGAGGATGAAATATCGCCTCTGGAAGCGGCAGCTGTTCTCCTTCTCCTCGATGTCCAGGAAGCCGCACACACGGTTCAAGCGGTCCACATACGGCATTGCTGCCACTATCACATAATCACTGAGACACAGAGGCAGAGGCAGACAGATGTGGAGGGTAAATCATCTCTGAGTAAAGAGTTCAGACACGCACACACACACACACGCACACACACACATGCACACACCCACCCACACACACACACACACACACACACAGGAAGAGAGAGACCCACTCGCACTCAGCAGTTTTTCATGTGACGTGATTGAGGCTGAGCTGCAAAAGCCGAAAGCCCGAGGCTGAGCTGAGGCCCTCCACCACAGTCGAAAATTACACACTACTCTCCAGATCTGCACACAGGCACATTTCCACAGGACAGGGAAGAGGAAAGAGAGGAGCTCAAGTCAAAGAAGTGTGGCCTGAAGAGGAATGTTTATTGAAAATGAAGAAGAGCATGTAAAATACAGAGCTGGCAGATTCCTAAAAATAATCAGGACTAATTCGTCTCAGAAACTCAGTTACTCTTGTCATATTCATTCTGCTTGTTTCTGGAAGTATCAAACTGTATTTTATTTCATTTATTTATCTCACCGCAAGCCAAACCAGAATTAAACACAAAACTATGTGCAGGAGATGTTCATGTTCTGTTTCTAGATATTTCAGCCTGGCAGAAACCGGCTCCTTGTTCTAAGCTTTGCTTCGTACAGACTGGAACCACGGCTGTTGAGAGGTGATTGCTTCCTGGAGGGATGGACACCAATGAAGGTTTACATTTTAACCCAATCGCTAACATTTGGCCATAACCTACACAATGCATCTGTTCAGTGCCTGAAGCTAACCAGAAATTGCCTGCACTGCAAACAACCATCGCCAACTGCGACGAGAGAAATGCAAAGCAAGGGTGGGCAATATGGATGTGGAATTTTATTTTAGTATTCTGTAGTGCTACTGAGATATTGATAAAAATAAAATAAAATAAAATTCTATGACTGGGACTGCATGGCCCAGCATTCATAGTGCCCCAAACACAAATACTGTTCTTGAAAACGTTCATACTCTCGATGTCATTTATACTACTAATTAGTCATATTAGTTATATTAGTCATATAAATATATTTAATTTAATTAAATTTTTGAAAACCTGCATAATTCTGTTTTTAAATTTAATTATATTTACTGATGCTCTCATGAAGCAAACAGTGAAGAAAATAGTAAAACTAACATTTTTAATTTTAACATCAATAATTTAAATTTATTAAGACAACAATAAATCTAAACTTTTTTCAGGATAAGAAATATTTCACAATGTATGACAAACGATACAATAAATGAGCAAGGACCGAGCCGAATGTGATGGTTGTGATGATAAATTCAGTACTTGGGTTCGTCGCCAACACGGACTGAAGCAAGAAATGCCATCAGGCACACAGGTCACACCTGCTGGGTTTAACTCCTGCAGAGTTATTTTTAAACCAATGCTTAAGAAAAAAATGCCTCATTTTGAAACCAGGCTCTGCGTCGCATGCGTCAATCTTGCATGTTTGCTACTGAAATAGGTCAAAGATACTGAAGGCATTAGCAGAAGCACAGGCCGTGATGGAAACATGAAGGTGGAGGTGCATGGGTCACACAGATGCCATCACTGAGACACACATCCACACAACTGTGTGCACAGCACACAAGCTATTCTGGGCATCAGAAAACATCTGGTTTAATCATTGCTGGGAGAAACTGTGGGGAGGTTTTTCCATCTTTGGTAAAAACCAAACCAATAAATAAAACTTGGATGATATTTTAAATGCCCTGTTTTTTGTGTGTGTGTGTGTGTGTGTTTTTTCTAAATGCACGAAAGCAGCAAACATACAGTAGCTTATGGAAAAAATGATTGTGTTTAGGTAGGGGCTGTGGTGTCACACATACTTCACAAAGAAGAATGGAGTGAAACATTCCTCCACAAACAATGATCATTTGTGCACAAGATCAACCAGTCTAATAAACAAAACAGGATAGTAAGCATTTCAAAAGCAAAGACGGTTAGTGATTTATAATGGTTTTATTTCCATCTTGAGGTTTTGGGGTCTAGTAAAGCAGAAAAAGGGAGGGTTGAATAATCTTGACTAATCACAGGCAGGTTTCTGGCCACAAGTTACCAAAGTTTTAAAAGGTTACGGTTTCAAAACCATAAAATGTTCCATCATCTTGGTTTAAAGTCCAGTTCAAAGTAGGACAGAGAAAGTGCTGCAGATACCACAGTTTTCTTCAGCAGCACAGAGTAAAGCAGAGCTACGATAACACGGCACTGCTGGTCAGCTGGCTGAAAGAAATCTACCACACCTTTCTTTATGGTTAGAGTAAAAGATCAGTTGAGCTCTTTGTGAATATTTCTCGTTGCAAATGAGAAGTCATGCAGAAGCTAAAGGAGCACCAGCTATATTTATTATTTAGGTCATGTTTTAAGCTACAAGTGGCATTTCTGTGAAGCAACAGACTGCAGGCTAGCTCTCAGAGCATTTAGCTCTACTAACGAACCAGCTTGTTAGTTGAGTCTGCTGAGTCGTGTTATTCGTCTATTTTAAAAATATATTATTCCTCTCATCTTAGCAATTGGGCAGATCTGAATCAGTACCATTTTTACGTATTTTCTATTCCAGTTTATTAAATTGATCAAAACTGACAACTTTACAAATGCACCACAATTGGATGCAGGTTTTTAGTTACAGAAATATCAGATAAAAGCTAAATATATGAACTATGATGCATAAATCAAGGCAATGTTGTAATTCTTTAATTTTATTTTGGATTATAAACTTCCATTTCTATTCTTAAAAATTTCAGGAGATTTGTTGTGTTTTTCATGCTGAATATGGCATATTAACAAAATTTCCAAAAGTTGTTCGTGTCTAAACCAACAGTCTCATCCAAATAGCAAAAGAAGACTTTTTAAATGTCACCAAAAACATTTTTGGAGGTGAAATAAGAAAAATTTCTGGGGGGTTTTGCCAAAATTCTGGTGTCATTTATGTCCCTTGATTGAAATGTGTGATCCAAATGACAATCGTGTTAAATATAAATATATCCCTTTGAAGAATGACCTGCATGTTTAATGGGTGGAGAATAAATATCAGTTACTTCTTAGAAAAGGGGCAAAAATATCCAGCTTTCTGAAACTGTAACCTACAACATCAAATATGAAAATGCCTTTTGTTTGTTTGTTTGGGAAGATGCAGCGAAGCACCAAAAACAACTGCAGACTCATTGATGGCAATGCATGTCAAGGTCAGTTCTCCAAGAAATGACCGGTCAGTGCATCTCCAGCTCACATCAGTGTCCAACCTCTTGTCCAATTAATGAGAGTTGCTTTGAAAAAAAATGCTGTAGTCTGGAAAGGAAGACTTTGTCGACATCTACTCTGAGTGAATACTGTGAAACTGGAAGATCCTGTGAGAGGGGCAGACCAGCCCCACGCCTCACTTAAACAGGGAGAAGATCGGACAACTCAGTTTTTAACCCTTCACTTCTTTGAGCACGGTTCAGTTACGCACCATCAACACTTGTGTTTCCTTTGTCTCAGACCAGATATGTACCAATCCATCAGCAGCAGATCGGAAAAATCCCTGAAAAATCCATATTTCACCCATTCATTAAATGCACCAATGACGAAGAACCCCCGATATTTTAGAACTGAAATCGTCCAGAAAAAAATACAAAACAAAAATCAACTAACTGTGCATCTCTGCGTCTGTCTACAGCTGCAACTATTTGAAGTGGATGAGTTGTGCCATAAAATGAGGATTTCTGTTAAGCAGGGAGCCAGAAATCATCTGGATGTTGCGCATTTGTTGCCAGTTCACTGAGCAAATAAAGAGTTTAACGCAACTTCCACTGAAGTTGAGATCGAGCATGCACAACTGTCCTCAATCCGAATTACTCAACAACACCTGACATGCACGGCATTAGTTCAGCTCAGATGACCTGCAGTGACTCAACGACACCAACGACTCCACGGAATGACACACCTACTGCCGCTCCAAGCTCCGCACTCACACAAAGCCGACGGCCAGAGCCACGAAGTGGCCCTGCGGCTGCTGCATCCAGGCCACTTACCCGCTGTGGAGAGTCAGAGTGCGCCACAGCCAGCGCCCCGAAACCAAGCGGAGAGCGCCGAGCCCGCCTCGGCGGCTGCGATCATCCTCAGAGGAACTTTCAAACAACTTTTACAGACTCCAGACTTTACAGATGGACCCGGCGTGCACGACGCCTCTCACACTATCCTCTATTTGTTTGCGTGATCGGGTTACAGGAGACTTGCCTTGTTTTTTTTTCCGGGTTGGACGTTTCGGTATTAGAATAAACCAGCCCCGGATGTGATCTATGCGTCCCCTGAGCTCCAGCCCCAAACCTCCTCTTCCTCCTCCTCCTCCTCCTCCTGCAGCTGCTGCTTACTTTTTACCCGAGGGAGAGAAAACCGAGTTGAACAGGCCTTTCTTATGACTTCAAATTCAGTGCCATGTTACATCTTTATCAACGCAATCCTTTTGTAAAACGCAATCTTTTCTGCACAGAGGGCTTTGACTGCATCAGAGGTGTGCGCTCTGTCTCTCTGCACGCCATGTGTCATCTGGACTTTTTCAAGAACTGGGTCAACGTGCTGAATCGGGTGGTTTATATGAGAGAGCTGTAGGTCCACATGCACCTGGAGGAGCATGTGGACCTGTTGTTCTACGTGCAGGTGCAAAACTATGATGTCAAAATTAAATAAATGAACCTGAACGTACATGTATTGACTTGTGAAGAATTGACTAAAATCAGACATGAATGACAGATTCATACATTAAATGTTTTGATTATTTAAAAAAAAGTCTGAAAACCAAACTTATGTGCATTATTATAAGTCATTTAAAAAGTACAAAGTGGATTCTGACATCTGATTGGTGAAAATCCACAGCACGTCAGACACAGACCAATGATCCTGAGTAACCCTGTCTCAGTCCCGCCCCCTGGCTGTGATTGATGGGACAGACAGATGAAATGAATTCTTGTATGTTCTGAACTCATCACCATATTGAGTTGAATGTAGACGTAACATTGTCAGCAGGTATAAACATGAGATGAACCAAAGAGTTTCACATTCATGCTTAAGAAAACAACAACAAAAGAAACATAGACAATTATCTAGATATACAGATAGACGAATTTGCTCTTGTCTCTCCAGATTTGTTTATCAAACTTAAGTCACGTTGAACCCTTTGTTGGCCAATTTATCCTCACTGAGGATCTTTTGGAGCTCTAAAGTTATTTTGTGGATTATTAGTCACATCTATCACTTTATGGCATGCTTATGTTTGTTTGGTTTACCTGTCGTTACATTGATGTTTTTTGATCTGTTTCATCTATTTTGGACTTTTTTGTTGACACACTTATACTTATCTTTTAATTCTCATACTTATTTAGTGGTGTCACAATAAAAGAAAACAAACACACTTGCTGTCATAGCTTTCCAATTTTTATTTTCAAACCCTCTCCCTCACTTACAGATGTGTACTTGTGCTGGTCCACCACACTGCATTTTATTGGGGTTGGGGTTTGTGTGAGAAAATGTGCAAAGGTTAACATTTGTGCAACTCTACTTCTTTACAAAGCACTTTATAAAACATATTTCCTCTCCTTACTCCATTTTGCACATATAGTCCATATATTTGTTTTTTGAGTTTTTTATTGTTTGAATGACATTTATCATCTTTAATTAAATGAACTAAAACAAAAATAAGAGGGTCAGGCTTTTATATTTAAAATTTTTGTCTTTATGAGTTATGATTGAGATATTCGGGTATTGGGGTTTCTGTCTGAAGATAACATGGGTCTCAATGCACAATGCAAATATATATATAAATATGTATATATACATGTATATCAATCTGCAAAGACACTGATGTTTGGAAAATCACTTTCAAATTACATTCTGTGGTTTTTCATTTTGAATGTCTTCAAGATTTTTGCTGTTGTTTTTTCCACTTTCAAACAAAGGTAACCACAAATTAGTCTAACTTCCTTGTTTCACCACTCTGCTCCTTGTCTTCTTAAGACTTTATTTTTGACACATTTGCAGACTCTCCTCTGCAAATGGAGTCTCTCATCAGCTTAATTGCTAAATATTGATTTTGCACAGGTTGTGGTTTTGCTTTCTGTCATTTTTCTTTTCGTAAAAATGTATGTTCTTCCTTGTTAAGAGGAAGTGGTTAAGTGTCATATGACCTTCCTGAGGACAGAGACCTACCTTGCCGATTTCATATCCAGCAGTAACTGTGCAGAACATTCAAGAGTCATTTATGTAAGGGGAAGTGTTGAACTTTCCACAGACCCTCATGAGAATAGTCTCAATGTTTTTTTTTTAATGTACTTCAAGAAAACAAATTTTCTAAAAGTATCAGGGGATCAGAGACACTACAGAAACTGAGGTGTGATTGTGTCTTTATTCAGAGAAACTAGAAAGCACAATAAATGATCAAAGTGCCACGGTAACGACAGTGAAGAGTAATTTAATTCTACGTGGTGAAGCGAGCTGTCACATGTTCCAAAACCACACCTGCCACCCCCTGTCTGCACCAGAGCTGAGTAGGAGTTATTGACTTTTCACATATTTGTGCATCATAAACACTCCCAGGTTCACATGTTACTTTATAGCATTACCTCATCTCATTGTGCAACTATTAGAAAATGTTTTGTTTTCAGTGGCAGTGAAAATTGCTGAACTGCAGCATACATATGTAGTCCCAAAACATCCCTGCACCACTGCGATCATAAAATGATATTCTTCTTGTTTTTACACCAATTTCATACCACCAGAAACACTCTGTGCCTCGGATCCTCTTTGAACTTGGATGGAGGCAGGAACAAACTCGGTGGAGGAGTTTAAAACTGACAGAAGGCTTTGTGCAGCAGCAGGAGCAGCGGTGTGATCAACACGAGTGGGCTGGTAGACAGAGCTCCTGCGGTGTTGACTTGTTGGCTGTGACGGGGCCCGTTGCAGTCATCAGTAAAGCAGCACTCAATTTTGGCTCCTGAGTTGTTGCTGTGAGCTTTTTTACAGAAGTCCTTGTACGAGCATGACTTTATCACGACGTCTGAAAGAAATCGAGGTGCAGACGCTGAGTCGGATCCCAAATATTCAACAGCAGAAACAGACAAATGGCAAGAAAAGCACAGAAGTCTGCAATAAAACTATCAGCCAATTAACAGCCGTAGGATGTAGAGACATCTTCCGTGGTTGTCTTACACACTTGTACACAAACATGCAAAAGTTTTATACCATTTTTACATGGGAACAAAATGGCATAAACCACAGAAATATAATACTATAGCTGTGAATTGGGTCAGCAAAAGCGTCGACTGTGAACAGAAACAGTATGCTTGCTGTTTAAGCGCTGCTGATTTCCTCAGACATTCAACTGAGACAGATACTTCACTGGAAACAGTGTTGGTCCTACCTCCAGTGAGGCAGATCCAAATGGTTGCATATGTGTTGGGAGTGTGTTTACTCACTCGGGCTTGTGATGGTGGCGCAGACCTCAGAATAAGCTGGACAAGAGATGGAGCCCTCCTTGTTGCACTCTTCCTCGCTGGTTGACGAGCAGGAGTAACATTTCAGAGCTTGGCCTTCGCAGACAGAACAGGAGAGAGAACCTGGCTTGAGACAAAGCCTGAATGTTTACAGGCAGATGCAACTCCACACACACGCGCGCCACCTTTAGTTAACATCAGCCTGCTCAGCCCAGGGTGCATCAACATACACAGGAACTCACTAAAGTCAGGTAGAAATAAAATGTCCTGCAGAAGTCTTCAGAAACCTTCTGGTGTGTAATTGGAAAGTGGAAGGGAGAGGATACAAGGTTTGAATTGTGAAAGTGTGGTGTGCATTTGTATTTAACCTCCCTGAGTTTTAAAACCACATTTTTTGGGCTACGTCTCCACAAGCCTCACACATCCAGAAATTTTTGCCCGTTCTTAATTTCAAAATAGCCCAGCCTGAGTCAGACTGGATGGAGAGCATCTGGGAACATATTTTTAAGTGTTTCCACAAATTCTGAGTTAGATTATGGTCTGGACTTTGACTGAACCTCTAACACATGAACGTGCCTTGATCTGAACTATTTCAGTGTCTCTCTGGTACTATGTTTATTGTTGAAAGATGAACATCTGCTCCAGGCTTGTGTCTAAACAGGTTTTCCTGCAGCATTACTCTGCATTTTGTCTGTTCTTTTCTCCATCAACTCTGATGATCTTTCCTGTCCCTGCTTGCTAAAACAATAATTCCCCCCAGCCTGATGCAGCCTCCGCCGTGTGGATGACGGAGACCTTTACTTTGTCTCTACAAAAAAAGGAAACAATTTGCGTTTCTTCCTGCCTTATTAGCCTAAACCTGCCTTAAACGTCTCCAAAACCTTTTCCCTGATCCATCTGCTATATTTCTCTGGCTATATGATGCATTTAGTTCTCTAAAGTTTTCCATCAAAACTCTGAGGCCTTCACAGATCATCTGGAATTAACATTGAGATTAAATTACACAAATATAAGAGCAGTTCACTAATTAAGTGGACAGGAGTGAAAAAGAATTGAAATTCCAAAGTAAAACATTGGAATGAACCTTTTATAATTACACACCATCTGGGTCACTGATGGCTTAGCCCTTTACCTGGCTACAAATAATCAGTCAGTTGCCTACTGATTTATATTTTAGATTCCTACAAACAATCTGCATCCAATTATAGAAACTTACTGTGGCAGGCCAGAGAAAAAAGGCAGAGCAGAGTCAAAACAGTCTTCATGGCAACTGGATGATGGGCTTCTGTCTTCTAGAGTCCAGAGATGAAGTGGATGAGAGACGTTTGGGAATCGGGGACCGTGGTGACAAAAAAAGGAGGGAGGTTTAACATTGGGAAGATGTCTGAACCATTAAGCATCTTATCCCTGTAATCTGCATCTATGCTGCACAGGCAGCATCCTGCACTAATGGACTTAGCAGGACGAGCTTTAACAGGGCAACACAGTTTTAGATGATAGTCTAGAATAATACAAGTGCTGTCCTCACAACAGTCAGCCAACAACGAAGAAAAGGTCTCCGTCCAAAACAAACACTGTTGGCTACACTCATCTTAAAACGACTCTAAACATGTTTGTAAATGAAACAGTTAGAGCTCACACACATATCTTAATGCTGCGCTCAGAAACTTTGTAGTTTACGTTTTATCAACCAACGAAAGACACAGCACAGACTTAAGTGTCTTCCAAACATAAAATACTTACAAACACGAAGGTTTTTCATTGTACAAAGCGTATTTAAAGTATATTCAGCGTTCGTGAATCGTTTTCCTTCAAATTACCCAGATTCTAGTTGGCCAGGTTACCAGATAGTTTGCTGTCAAGAGGGCTCACTCTGTCATGTTTCTGCAAACAGGACAAAGATGGAGCTTTAACTGATATCACACACTGATCACGTTACAAACCCCTCAAAAATTAGCACGAATTTAATCGTTAAGTTTGCTGACTATAAACTTGACTACCAAGCTTATTGATAAATGGTTTCCAAACCTTTATGTAAAAATCTAACACCATTTGTTTTAAACTTCTGCGATTCTGTTTTCCAGCCAGATGTAGGCAACAGTATCATTACCATTGTTTGGATCATAGATTGAACAAATATCTCGAAGAGGTTGAAAGTTTTATAACCTTACCACTTTTCTCATTCAAATTAATACCACAAGATGCTATGTCCATTTTATATAGAAAGTAATGAATCCTTACATAACGCATGGTAATAAACAGAAAATATTGTAGAACAAACTATATGAATGTTTATTCAGGAGGATGTACACATTATTCACACCGATTCAACACAGATGTGAGATTGTCATTTATGAACTACAGATACAAATTTATATCCTATTCAAGCAAAGTCTGAAGTTACAAAATAATACGGCAAAAGAAAAACAGTCTAGTATCGAGGTAACATGACATCAGATTGGCACAAATATATATACTCTTTATACATCTGGGTTTGTGACGTTAGTGAATTTCACAGACATCACAAATTCACAATGAATATTAACTTTAATAGATTTTAAATAACCACATAATGAGCCCTAAAAATTCCTTCAATTTTTCTTCAACCAGCTGATTTATTGGAATATTTTAAACATATCATATCCTGCATTGCAAGGACAGGTCAATATTTTTTCCTGGACAGAAAATCTCATGTAGAAAATCAAGTGAGAACCAAACACGCATGCAACATAAGCACTAGTTGTAAGATTGAATTTTGTATTGTGATAAGCAGCCATATATTATGTTATACAGCACATGGCTGTGTCCAGTCATGTGCTGAACACAGATTGTGCTTGTTGGTGTGATAAAACATGTCTGAAAAAATTGCAAAACTGAAAAAGTGAAAATAAACAAGAACTCTGACAAGAATCACACATTAACAGCAGGCAAAAGCTCTAAGACATCAGGTTACTTCACAGGGTTTTGTAAAAAGCAGGCTGTAACGATATTTAAGCAGCAGCATCTGCAATTTGTAAAATCTCCACTCGAAAATAGCCCAGTTACAAAAAAAAGTAAGGGTTATGGTTTTGTGGATTTGACAGAACAGCTCCATAAATTGCAGACTGTTATAGAAGGATGGTAGTGAAAAATTTCTCAATTCATAGAGGTTTATTTATGTGGCCTTGCAAGTGATAAACAATCTGCATGCGCACAAAATAATTAGTATGTTCATGAAAAGCATGTCCACAGCATGATGCTGTCAACATTATGCATCACTCAGAGGCATGAAGTGTTGAGTTAGTTTAGCTCCACACAGCTGTTTGCTTGATTACTCGCGTTTGCTTGATTACTCGCGTATCCACGCGAGTTTGTCATCTACATGACTTATAGTTATATTCACATACAACTGTAAACAAGACATGATTTCTTCCTGCATTAGTACTATAAAACAGACAGATTTGTGGAGAGGATGACTAAAAGCTGTTCTGTTGACAGATTCTCCCACCTGAGCGGTTGACATTTGCAGTTCCTCCAGAGTTACTGTGGAAGTTATTACTGTTTATTTGATAAAAATTGCCTTTCCCCAGACTGTTAGTTTAGATAGAGAGGGCCACTTTCACACTCAATCCGGCCAAACCGATAAACTAAAAAAATAACTTGAAAGTGGTATAAAAATATATTTTAATTGTTTAATCATTCATTATTAAATCTGTTCTCGAAAGCTCGTCTAAGCAGAAGGTTAAAAGTATTTTCAAAATCAAACCCAGGGGTGAATTAAACTTGATGTCATTCTGGAGGCAAAATTGGTCAGAGTTTAGTGGACATATTATAGCTGTTGTTCCCTGATATGATGGAAAAACACTTGATAGCTCTAGATAACCTCACAAAAGGTGCAAAATCCAAACAAAGTGATCTCATGTGATTAATATGCTGAGAGCCTTGATGGTTCAGGTCATAAGTAGTGCAAATGCAAGTTAAAAGAGGTTACTTCAAACATCTGTATATAAGCAGTCTCTTAGGTGCAGGGCAGGCACAGGGTACAGTATGGAAGCTGCTTCTTGGTTGGAGGCAGATGCACAGTGCATCTCTGCAGGACTGGAGGGGCGATACAGGCTGATTAGCTTCAAGCAAATGCTCAGTCTATTTTTCCCATTTTGGCAATCAGCTCGTCACAGATCTTTGTGAGCTCCTCGATTTCTTGATTCTGCAGGAACACCATGAAGGAAGGTAATTAAAGACTATCCAGTAATCACAGACAGGAAATGGTGCTGAATGATGTGTTTCCTGCTACACAGCCTGGAGATGATGAGTGTTGTACCTTCTGCAGCAGGGCTTGTTCCAGAGACTCGTTCCTCATCTGCTCCTTCCTCAAGCTCGCGGTCAGCGCTACCGATTCTGAGCTAGCCTTGGTGCGCACCTGAGCAATCTCCTCATTGGCCCTGCAAGAATGAAGGAAAATAATATGCATTTTTATCCAACAACAAAGTTTTTCTCCCAAACTCTTCTGTTGCTCAGACTCTTCATACTTGTCTAGTTTCTCCTCTGCATGCAATTTCAGTGTCTGGTATCTCTGCTCCTCCTGCTTGACTCTGGCCAGATAGTCCTGAGCACACTTCTTCAGCACTTCTTCATTCTGCATGAAGAGATAAAACTTCATGCCATTTACCAGTTCATGTGCACACACACAAGGCAGACAGAAAACACTGTGTAGATGCTCTGTTTTCCAATATTCATTTTAACTTTAGTGTTGTGTCTGTGTTCTGAATTGCAACATATTTCCTTCCAATGTTTTAACAGTAGCAGTAAATGCTAAAGTTAGACTACTTTGTTTCATTAAAATCCTGCATATTTAGGATTTTGAGCAGATATAAAAGCCTATATTTCAGTTTTTTTGTTTTTAACAATTACATTTTATGACCCTTGGTTTTTCTCAACTTGCGCCAAACTTGACAACTGTGGCTCTCGTGGCAAAAGGTTTGGACACCACAGGTTAATATTAAAATTACTTTACTTTGCTGTGGTTTCTGTGAATGTCTGCAGCTATTTGAGTCAAATCTTTCACCTTATGCCTGGTGTTGGTTGTACAAACACTGCTGTTAACCCCAAGACATACTTCCAACTTTATACATAAATTCAGGGTACTTCGGAAACAAGACATTTCAACAAGATGTCCTCAAATTTCCCACCTTTTTAAAGCCCTCCAGGGTGCTTTTCATGTTTTCATAGCGGCGAAAGATGTCCGACAGTGAACGCTCCACGGAGTTCAGGTCTGCCAGGGCAGCATCCTTCTCCACCGTCACCGCATGCAAAGCCTTCTGGAAGTTCACACTGTTGCGTTGCTCGTCCTCTAAAGAAACACATAAATGGGTTATTTTTATTATCTCACAATAGCAATATGCAACATAAAACACTTTTCACGTTGCAATTTGTACTTTTCTTATTGCAACAGAGCACTCACAAGATGAGATTACACAAATTAGGATGAATTCAGTGTTTGAATGTTTTTCCGCAGTGAATTTAACTCACCAATCATCTGAGCAATTGTCTTCTCATATTCTGCAACAATCTTTCTGAAATGAGACACCAGAAAACAACTCTAACGTTTGTCTAAAAGTTACAAAAATTACAATGTAATAAAAATGAAACATTTTTGCTGTACTCAGGACCACCCTCTTCTGGAACGTTTGATCCCCATGACATCAGCAGCATGTTTTCTAACCTCATCTCATCCACTTCTTGTTTGCACCGCTCATACTTTTTTTTCCAGTCATTAGTTTCAGCCTCCTTAGTGATGATCTGAAAGGAGACCATTTGCGAGTAAAAACCTCCGTCATTGATCTCTGTGTGACCCAGTGAAGCCAAGTCCAACACGAGAGCCTACCTCCTCTCTGATGAGGGTGAGAACTGCTTGTTTCTCTGCCTCACTGATGCAGATAGAATCCAGGACCTGACTTCCCGTTTTCTGCATCTCACTTCCTTCTGATGTCTTCAGCTCACACGTGTCTTCATACTGGCAAGAAGGAAATCAGTCATCACCATCATTATTTTTTCGTATTTTTTGATCAACCAAGTTTTCAAAAGTTTCAGCTACTAATCTTAGAGAAGAGAAATGATCTGATAAAGTTAGCCAAATTCATGCATCCATCTGTGAGAGGGTTGAAACCTCAAAATGAAAGCAATAAGAAGCATGAAAGCAACAAGAAGCTTCTAAAAAGAGAAACTATTTTCTACATAGTCATGCTAACAGCTCATTTAGGTGCTTCAACAGACACAGGAAGCTGAATGTTTTACTGCAAAATTGCTTTATTTTCTTACGGCAGTCAAATTGCATCTTTAAGGCAGCATGTTTCATTAGCAAATGTTAGTAGGTGAGGGTTTGTAAACAGAGATTACCTGTTTAGACTGATGTTTAGCTAATTACTAATATCAGACAGTAAAGAAAGTTCAAGGCACTAATCATTCAGTCCCACAATGTGGAGGATTTGCTGCATTTATAGGAGACAAGGGTGTGACGTTAGTCTAATTTTGATAAATCAAAGTTTTACACCATTAAACATTTTTGTAAGAATATTACATTTTATATTTATTCAGAACAGAAAACTGTATTTATGAAGACATTACAAATATTGGTGAAATTAGAGAACCTTTTGATTCATGCTTTTCTGCACTAAACCTGTCAAGATTTGGAAAAATGTCCTAAAACCAACTGAATTATACTTGTTCCTTTTGGCATCATGTTGTAATGTTTTAATAAACTGATCTTCTCCTGCAGCGTAACGTTGAGCATATATCACTCTCATCTTTGGGTCAATGTTCTCATGTCTTCCTCTGCTCCAACCATGTCTCTCCACGCTCTGGTTCTGTCCTTTGCTGGATTATGACAGTCATAGGCTAATCTTGAGGGTGATAATCTTAATCCATGTGTCACCTGAGAAGACTAACACAGTGGCAGGCACTAAGTACCTTGTGCTGTCCTACACCTCAATAATGTCATCATATTGCATCTTACAATGCAACTTCCTTGGCTGTAACCTAATCAATAGTTTCTTTAATTCAAAATAAAATGATCAATTTTGCTATATTTGATTGTAAATTACAATGTTAATGTCTCAGATTTCAGCTGCATGTGAAGAATCAGACGCAGATGAAAGCCACACCAGCTGTAACTTGTCATTCCTTTCATTTGTGAACAGATAAAATGCCCCACCTAGTGGCAGAATTGCAGTTTGAAATTTATGTGCAAACATCCAATTTTCAGCGGCAAATTGACACTCCATTGACGAGGAAACCAAAAGCTGACACCAAGTTTTAGAAAGAAGAAAATATATCGGGTTAAAAGAGACGAAGGCTCACCACAGAGCAGCAGCCTGACTCATCTTGTTTGGATGTCAAATTGCATTCCTGGTCTGTGAAAGAGAGAGAAGAAAGCCTTTTGGGTCAAAGGTCCTATAAATATGCTACAGCACTGTTTAGCAACATGACCAGCAGGTGGCAGCAAATTAAATCTTTAGGCCAAAAAATTTCATAGTGATATTTAATCTGAAAGAATCCATGGATTATATTTCATTAGCATTAAGCCACTATGGCCAAAATGAACAGAAACAATGACTTTGAATATATCTCTATGTAATAAGTTCGTATAAAATAAGAGTTCTATATTTTTAACTGAAATAAATAAACTTCCAGAAAACTCTCTGATGTGATTCATTTTAGCTGTATTTTGTCCTTGAATGACAATTTCTCCTGAGAATGAACTATGTGAGTGACTGAACCAGTCACATAAATCTCATAACATTCAGTAGAAACTGAACTGCATGTCAGAAAACATCTGTCATGTTCTGAGCATAAGTTACAAACAGCTCTGTACACAAGGACAGCTCTGTCCCAATTACTCACCACATTGTAATTCTGCACATTTCCCATGTACAATTAATAATTAAACAGGCCTGTTGCAAACACAGGCCTGGAAAGGACATTTAATGTGACTGTTTAACCATGACTATTGTTTACCCACGGGTCAGATAGTGCATACTGATTTAAATAATGAATATCTAAACTTTGGTGTCCTTCATTTGAGTTAATATTACTCTAAAACATATGTAGTCATTTTACTCACAGTTTTGCTCCTTTTCTGATTTGGTCCCAGCTGTCCCTGCCAGTTTCTCCTCATCTGTAGCATGGCCCTCATGATGGTCATCCTTAAATAACATTAAACTTCGTTACCATGCTGGCTTTCTCTGTATAAACCTGTTTTTCACTCATTGTAGGCGTATTATTATCAGAGCTTACCTGTCCATTTAAATCCTTCATCTGCTGGTTTTGCTTTAGTTTGCAGGAGTTCCTGAGGACAAACGACAAAAAGCAACATCAGCTTCAGCACGACACATTTCAGCTTTCAGTGCATTTAAATGAAGACAGATGGAAAAACATGAAGAGACAGGAAAAAAACATAGATAGCTTTACTATTAGACCACATAGTTTTTCTTTGTGTGTGCTGAGCAGGCATGCTCTTCCACAAAGTGCTGAGTTATGCAGTAGAAAGAGCAGAATAATGAAATGTTTGTGGATTAGAGGGTTTCCTCTAACGCATGATATTTTTCCACTATGCAAAAGTACTCGAGTCTTTTTCTCCACCTTTGAGTTGAGATTCTGAGTTTATGTCAGCTGCAGAGCCGGAGTCACACAACACAGTTATGCAGTACTTACAACAGAACACAGAGGAAATGGACTTGCTCAGCAGTCCTGATGCCACACAAAGAGAAAGGGAAACAGAATGACATGTTGAGCAAAGAAAAGGAAGGAAAAGACACTTGATGAGACAGGGGTTAGGAGAAAGACAAGGGGAGGGCAGAGGTCCTGATGTTGAGGAAAACAAAACTGGAATCAGAATCGGAGTGTTACTGGAAAACGTCAGACACAACGTATTGAAAAAAATATTAATTTTGCAAATATAACGGGAACAAAAGATCATTGAAATTTTCTTTCAATGCCTCACTAGATTTTAACACTAGATATCCAAAAGTTTGAGATGATAAAAATTAAAGATGCACCAAGAAATCAGCTGATAAATCCTGCAAAATTTTAGCTGGATTAGACCTAATTAATTACCAGCCACTGGTTAACTAAATGCATCATTTTCTAGCAGTAAATGCACCATATAAATGTCCCACCAGGTGGCATTCCTGCTGTTCATTCAGAATGCCACAACAGGGATACAGAGTTCAGCACTTTAAAAATAATACTGTATTGCAGCTTAAAACAATTATCCGTTTCATCATTTTATTCTGTTGTAAATCATGGCAGAAAAGGAAGCAGTGTAAATGTTTTGGAAATCTGACATAACCATGAAGCATCCATTGAGATTTAATGTTCAATGATTTTGTGAAACAAAATATTCTGTGATAGTACCATGATGTACGCAAAGAGTTAAAATATGCTCATTACAGTAAAGGATGAGATGTCCTGTAACTTCTAGTTTGATTTTATTTGTAAATATCTCCATTTCATAAACTCGAGTTTTACTGCATTTTGTAGCAGAGATACCTTTATATTATATACCTTCATACTTGTATACTTCATTATATTTATATTTTTATAACTCTATATAACACTTTTAGCTTTTGGATACACCATTGTTTTTTTAGACTAGTTCACATCAAGTAGTAATTGCATGTCTATATGTTGCAATGTTTAATTAGATACACACATAGTTAATTACAAAGATCTTCCACAAGAGGGCAGAGTTTGACTGCTTAATAGTTGAGCAAAAATAAAGTAAAAGTAGAAGCAAAACATACAGATATGTATACCGAATGGAATGTGTAAACAGTGCTTCACAGGTGTGTGCAAATGATATAAAATAAACTCCCTGTACATTAAGTGGCCCATTTTAGTGCAGTGACTCAGGCTGTATGCAGGGGAGAAACAGCTGACGTGCCTTAAACCTGCACTATACACACAACACGCCAACACAGTTCATACAGACAAGGACACTTTGATCATTTCAGGGTAGATGTGAACAACAGCTTGCAGTCACTGCAGCTCTATCCAGCCATTTATAGAAACTAGCTGCAGTTTCTGGGTTTGATGTGTGTAGCTGTAACCACTAGGGGCCACAGGCCTTTAGTTGGGTTTACTTACTTAATGATTGAGTTGCTGGTCTCACAGGCCAATTTAGTGTTCGAGCTCACGTTGCCATTCAGCAAATCGGGGTCCAGGCACTCATCACAACTGATTGTGTCTGGACTAGAGTCTGAAGTCGCCAGAGCCTCATCGTCCACCTCTGAAGGATCCGGTTTGTTAAGTGGTGAGAGAACGGGAAGGGATGGCGGTCGGAGAGCTGCAGTCTGGGGAAGGTGGCCGGATGGAGATAGATCTTCTCGAGAGCCAGCATTGGAGCCCAGGGTCAAATTGAGGTTTTGATCCAAATCAAAGCTGCCTTTGTTGGGTGTGGAGCCGGTCAAGTTGTTCAGGGAGTCAACCTGCTGGGATGGAGCTGAGAGGACATCATGGCATCTGTCCTGAATGCTGTTTGAGCCATCAGCAGCAACTATGTGGAAAAAAACAGGGATCAAACAAGTTGGGACAGAAAAGATGATTATTAAACTAATCTGGATGCATCTGTCATAAACCATATTTATTTGTTATACATAGCTGTGAAAGAGTGAGCTTGGGGCATACTCAGCATTAATAAACAATATTAATTTGTATATTAACTTTTATTAAGTAAATAATATATTTGAGGTTAAATTTCCAAATAATTTTAGATCCAAATTGAGATTTTGAGGGACATTTTCTCTCCTTTTGCCATTAGTAAGAGAAAACAGGGGACTTCCATTCAATTTAAGAAATTGAATCTAGCCAATCTCTTGGCTGAAAATTTCAGGCAACTTTGAAGGAATCCTAAAATGCTCACACAAAACCAGTAGCATTTAATGATGTCATTTAAGATTAGATTAAAAAGACAAAAGAAGCAGCATGACTACTAAAACATGCATAAATCCATATGAACACGGCAAAAATGAAATAACTACAACAAAAACTTACCTCTTCAATGACTCCTTTCTAGCACTTCATCTGACAAAATACTGTTTTGCTCTGCAAAAGTGTTACACATCTTCCAAGTGTTTAAACAGTGTATAAATATTTGCTGGAAATTTACAAACTAAATATTTTCCAGCATCAATGATCTACACCACTGACGCAGTTCACCAGGCTGCCATTCATTTTTGGATGTGTCAAAAAAAAAACATTCTGTTTTTTTTTTGACACAGAAACTCAGAGATTAAACTCAGAGATTCAATTTATACTGAAATTTATACTGAAATTTTATACTGAAATTTATACTGAAATTTACACAGAATTTGTAAACTTAGCGACGTTGATAGTTTCAATTGAGGTTCTTGCATGTCAGCAGTCTGACTCCACTGCTTTGATTTAAAAAAAATATTTTTATTACTAGACTTTATCATATTTGTAAAAAGAGATAAGAAAAATTTGCCGTTTGTGTTTAGCATTGTTGTAAGTAAAATGGATTGAAAAATATATATAAAATCATATGAGTTATGGTGGCAACATTCACTGGGATTTAGATAGTCCATATAATCTCAAAACAAGTTCAAAACAACATTTGATATGTCCTTTTGTTGCCAACTTGCAGCCGGAGGGTCGATTGTTCGTCATTCATTAATCCCAGGTCAACATCATTACCACTTTAAACCCACCTACACACATTTTTGTTTCTTTTCTAGTTCCCACCAAATACTAATTAAAATATCTCACTGTGGCAATTAAATGATTTACTAACAACCAGTTCGGTGTGTAACCAGTTGGCACCATTCAACCCAATTACAATAATATCAAATCCTTACATTGTTTGAATGCATCTCTTTCCTGAAATGTTATTATTTAAGTTTTAAGCCTTCAAAGGGTTTACTGAAAATCTGCTGACTTCCTCCCAGAACAATCCACTTCCTGTCTCTTCATACATCCCGTTAAGCATCCCGGCGGGCTGGGCTGTGTTGTTGAAACACAGGAACCCTTGTTACTGAAAATAACCATCTCCACACAATGTAAACGTCAAACAATTATAAACCAACACCACCCTGTTCCTTCTCTTCACCACATGTGGATTGTTATTTTCTTAAGTCGATTCAAAAACTTTATTACTTTTTTTTTGGTATTTCACGTGATAGACAAAATGATGCCTGACTCTGAAAAAGAAAAAAAAAATTATTATTACCTTTTTTTTAATGTAACAAATTCTTTGTGAAAGTCTTAATGGTTTGAGATCAGTGACAGCAGACAAGTCAGAGTTTATAAAGTAATTATTAGCTTTGAACAGCTCAGAGAAAATCTCAACCAATCACCTGAAAGTGTAAAGACTATAAGGCACACGTAGGAACAAATATTTTGCTGGGCAAAAAGAGCACAGTTTAGCAAAGTATTCAAGATGTCTGTGGTAACTCTGGAGGAGCTGCAGTGATTTATAGATGAGCTGGGAAAAATCAATAGGACTATCAATGGTCTTGTACTGCACAAAGAGATGAAATACAAAAAGAAGTAAGAAAAAAAATCCACTGTAGAAATAAATGATAAAAAAAATCCAGCTCAAAGTTTGCTACAAACCAAATAGAGCAGACAGATGTCAGATGGGAGAAGGTGGTTTAAAAACCTTAAACCAAAACAGTTACCAATGGAGGCATCATGCTGTGGAGAAGCTCATCTCAACATCACTTAAAAATCATAATCATTAAAGTGGAGCTTAGTCATCATACCCTCCATATTTATTAGATGTTTTTGTCTTTCATCTTTTCTTTCCACTCCTAAATTATTCACTATTTTAAACTGATACATCACATACAAACCCAGAATAACTCCTGAAAGTACAACAGGTGTAAAAGGTAGATTATGTCAATGTTCTTTTTAAATCAAAGAGTTGAAGTCAGCTTATACAACCTCCAGCTCTAAATCTCTATAGTTCCTCACACTGAATACACACTTTGTAGACGAGGAACAGATGTAGAAAAACCACACCCAGTCATGAAGAGTTCAACCCGTCACGTGTCCCAGCAACACAAACAACATCAGGCTTTATTATCATTTCACAACTCTGTGAAAAAGAGGAAAAGACAGCAGAGGGGGAAGTAAGAGTGTCAGAGAAACAAGTAGATGCAAAGCGAGCTCAGGTTTCTGCTCTGCCACCGTTCAGAGACGTTTCGTCACGTTCAAGTGGTTGTTACCATAAACAGTGAACTGTTTGTGTCCGCTAACTATAGAGCCCATTTCTCCAGAGTCAATCTTCTATGTATAAAAGGAACTCAGCATGCGAGTTGTGTAGCATGACATGACACACAAACTGTCTCAGATTGGCATAATTTTACCATGAGCGGCGATTCAAACCTCGTAAACTGATCTAACCAGCACAGACGATGTCAAACCCTGTTGCTCCCAGTGTCTGCTGATATCCCTGCACAATCCAAGTTTGCAAACACGTCCGATATTCATATCTGTGGTTGAACTGAAGTCTGGATTATCTGTTACCACAGCAACAGGTGGTACATGTGCCTGTGTGGGTGAAAGCTGGGCAGTAAAAGCAGAAGAGGCGGAGAAGGGAGTGGAAACTAGGGAGCCTGTTTGGAAAAGCAGGACTCAGCTGCAAGCTATTTTTTTTTATAAAGGCCTAACCAACAGAGAGCTCATTTCCAACTTTTAACAGCGTTCATAAACACTGCTCTGACCCTGTATAACATTACTTAATGAAGTATGTTGCACATTGCTCCTAAGATGGAAGCAAACAGCACCAAGTTTCAAGTGAAATTATTGCTGAGGCACAAGTCAATTCACACGAAAGATAACAAAGGAAGAAATGTTCTTTAAAAGATTTAAATTTCTTCGTCGACTGTCTCAAATACTGTATGATCTTTATTTAAGATCACACTCTATATCAGCCTTTCTGGATATAAAATAGAGCTGTACAATTAAAGAAATTATAGGATAGGAAGGTTTTTATTTTTATATTGCAATGACAATGTCACTTGTTCTAAATTTAAACTTTCCTATCACTTTAAGTATGCTGTGTTCAATCACTTTTGTTGGACAGATCTATCTAATGATAGATTCAGATTGTTGAATGTATTATTCAGCAAATTCAGAAATCTTATAGCACTTCAGTCTTTTGTAACATTCTTCTCAATGTTACCAAATACATATTTTCCCAACCTTTGGTCACAACGTTTTAATATTTTATGGTAATGAATGTGCACACAAATCAGTGCATACTGAAGATTAAAGGAAAAAAAAATACATATTTATTTGCAACTAAAAATCTGAAGTATATGGCATGCAACTGTATTCATCCAGCTTTGTCTGATAAAATGAAGTGGAATGAATCTGTTAGTTTCAATCTCTTCTCTAAACAAACCCTGAATTGCTGGATTAAGTATGATTGAATAAACATTTACTAAAAACACAAAAAGTGAAATTTATCTCAACTTCCATCTGACCAATCAGCACAAACATCAAAGGTTTTGATGATCCTGTTTCTGAGCCTTAATGGCATCAAAAATGTTTTTGGTTGGAGCCAGCAGTGATGTACTAAGTGTATACTCCAGGAAACCATTACTGCAATAATAAATCCCTTTTCCAGGCATTCAAGCATGCTCCCAAATGATACTTCTGCAGTAATAAATCTGCACAGATTAACCCAAATCAGGGTTTTCAGCAAAGCATAAACAAAAAGGCTGCAGACTGAAGCTGAAAATAGGCTGACAGCTGGCTCACATACAGAAATATGTAGGTCTGTGATACCGTGTTATCTGCTGTGCTAAAGTCGTATTACTGTTGTAAACAGTGGGCAAGATACCAACACTTTACCCACTATAAATGAAATGCACAAGTATAATAAGACAAAACTTAAATGTGTCATGGAAAAACTTTTCTTTTGGTGTTCCTTCTGTGAAGCCTGATTCCATGTCAGATATTGTTCATGGCAGACATGGTAAGCAAGTATTGCATTTAAACATACAGTCAAAAACGACATAAGATAAAACCGTCAGGATTTCAAGATCACTAGTTAAACATTACCGATATCTGACAACAGTCAAGTCAAGTGACCTACATCAGAGCACTAACTTGCCATCTGCCCTGAAGTCTCACCTGTGTTATTTGTGTTGTCAAGTTGGCTCAGTAGATTCACAACAGCTGGAGATTCAGCTTCTGGAGTTTCGAAGGCGCCCTCAGAGTCTGAACTGCAGGTGAAAAGAATAAAGTGTTATTTGTTTTATTTTGATGAAACATTACAAGAAATAACAGAGAACCGCAAACAGAAGCCAGAAGAGAAAACTCTAAACTGAAATTTGATCAAACCAACAAGGGATGATTTGTTATGCACTTTTTTTGTTGTTGTTTTTTTTTTTGCTTAATTACACACATTGTTAACTCTCTTGCAAAGGTGTTCGCAACATAAATTAATAAATAAAATAAAAGCCTTCATGTGGAATAAATTTGTGTTCAGTCAGTTACTGTACAACAATAATTGGCTTCAAAAGAGTTACAGCTGAAAGTCCTTTGGTGTACAACTTAAAAACTTTGGACATCTAGAGTTAGAGGTTTTTGCCAATTCCTCCTAGCAGCTGAAACTAAACTGGATTGAGAGCATCTCTGAATATTCATGTTCAAGTTTTGTCTCAAATTCTTTATTAAATTGTAGCTGCCCATGTGCTTTGATTAAAATAATTTTATTTCTGTCTTGGCTCTATGTTTAAGTTTGTGGTCCTGCTGGAAGAAAAACCTCAGCTTTGTTCTTTTGGTGAAGAAATGCTTTCCCGTAGCGAAACACGACACTATCACCATCGTTCATTTTGAAGACGATGTGTTCAGATGTGCAGTGTTAGGTTTTTTTTGCCACACACAGCACTTTGGACGGAGGCCAAAAAGTTCAGTTTTTGTCACACTTAAAGAGAACACCTTCATGTTTCCTGTTTGCTCTTTATGACTTATGGGAAACCAGCTAGAAGACTTCTATTGTTCTTTCAGCCACTAATCTATAAAGAGAAGATTAGCTGAATCCACAACCAAGTTATCTTATCAACAGATTCTTGTAAATATCTGCAGCTTCTCCAAAGCTACCACAGTTTCCTGGGCTGCTTCTGACTTCATGTCTGCCTGATGGTTAGTTGGGTAGCTATAACTTGGTAGATTTGCAGTTGTGCTATTCTTTTCACAAGATAAATTGACCAGTGCTCTGTGAGGATATTGTTTAATAAATTAGCTCTGCTTTAACATTTCTCAACAGCCTTGATCTATCTGCTGTCTTCCTTTGTCTCCATGAAGCTGCCTTGATCTCTAATTGCATGTCGCGGATAAGTTAAATATAAGTGGAACCTACTTAGAAATTAGTAAATGTAATAACATTTGAAAACCCATGTCATTTTCCTTCCAGTTCACTGTTATGCATGATTATCTGTTAGTCCACTGACTGAAATACCAGTAAAACACATTGAAGTTTGTGATCACAATTCTATATATATACATATATATATAGAAGATTATGGGATGTGAATACCTTTGAAAGGCACTATATGGGTTTCCAGATAATTATGACAACAGAGTCATTAGCTTTCCAGGATCTATTTTCTTGAAGAGGCTTGAACACAGTGGCATTCACAGATCAAAACAAACACGCTCTTTTCATCTTATAGGAAGGAGAGAAGAGGAAGCAGGGCTCAACTGGGACACATGCATCCTTTGCTCCTCGGTAACTGTGTCCCACAAACACTCACAGTTTTTGGCCTGCAATCTCGGCTGCCTGGACACCCAGCTCTGGTTTATTCCCAAACAACAGGGACACGAAAAGAATGGGGAGAGGCATCAACACAGAGAGCGTGTGTATGCGTATGTGTGCTCGTGGGTATTCCTAGCCACTTGAAAGCACATCAAAACGTCCGCACTCTAATGAAAAACAGCACAAAGAAGAGTTCACAGTGCCAGCACCCAGGACCACACCATTTCTGGAAACCAGTTCTCACAGACACACACTTAACACCAATTTAATACAAATATAAACCCTCCTCTTCCCCACACACAGCCTGAAATTCCTGTCCCACTGACAGCCTTATTGGCTCAAGATCAGAATGGTTACTAAGAAACTAGAAAAGGAGGGGAATCAAAAAGTATCTAAAGCTTTGAAAAGTGTTGCATTTTAATCCCCTACTTTATAGTAACCATTGCCAAACGGCCACACACAAAACAGGCTTAATTACATCCTCTGTGTTTGAAAGAACAGGGTGGTGCATATAAATAATCTCCTCTTAATATAACGTAGCTATTTTAACTTAAGATGTGCTTTGATATGATGACAGACTGAGAATCAGAGAATAAACGACAGGATGGGACCGTTGGTCTGATGATCTACAAGCTGTCAGTATGACTCAGGAGAATCTGCAATCACAGCATCCACAGTCACAATCCATATTCATCTGTTCAAGCGCGCGCACACACACACACACACACACACACACACACACACACACACACACACACACACACACACACACACACACACACACACACACACACACACACACATAAAATCTCTTACTTGTCTTCTTTGTCATCCCTTCCTGCATTGTCTCCTGCACCTCCAGTCACTGCCGACCATGTCCACTTGGCCCACTGGACCGGAGACAACCAGGACATCTGTGCAGCACCTTCCAACCCCACGTCTGAGATAAGAATTGTAAACTTGTCTTTTCTCTGGGTGAGTCAACTCTGTGATTTTCTAAAGTTTAAATCACACCTTAACTATCGACTACAAGAAGCCCTTGATCTACCAACGTATTTTCTGTGTCAACCTCACTTCCTCTTCTTTCTCAATTTCTGTTTCTACCCATCCTGCTCTTCTGTCCTGTTGACACTCGTGCGAGAGAAACGTGTCTGTGCTGCAGCTGGATCTGTTTGCGGCTCTGCTCTGTGAACAGCACTGACTCACGCTCTGCAGATTGCAACCAGAGCATCAGTAGTCACTCCCCCCGCCCTTTCTGCTCCCCTCCTTCTTCCTCCCAGCAGCCTCTTTGTCTGGGTGAGCGACCAGCTGATTAATACGCATCGGCTCGCTCTGCTGCTCCTGCAAGTCTGCTGACTGGCTCTCTCCCTTTGTGATGTTATCCAGGGATTTTTGAAAGTCAGAGACGGGAAGAGATGGAAAGGAGAAGTACATTTCTGTTTTACAAAATAGGATTAGTCAGTTTTGTCTTGGTTAGAGAGAATATCAAATATGTTTGTGCTTTGGTGGTCAGGTGGGGAAAAATCATGGTGGGAAGGAAATGCCACATTTATATATCCACCTTGTGTAGGTTATATAAATTAGGATGGCTTTTTTTTTTCAAACAACCAGATAAACAAGTGTTGTCAAAAGCTGGGTCACTGGTTAAACTCAAGGTTTTCAACTATTTGATAATAAGCTGTAGATCAAAGTTTAGTCATCCTTTGACTACATCAGTTATTAAAATGAACAATAACATGTTAATCACATTACCAGAAATGTTATATATTTGACAAAACCCTACATATCCTTTCATTTTATGTTTAAACTTTGTCCCTTTGAGACAGAATAAGCTCCTTAAGATTGTTGCAGTGAAAAAAGGGTCAGTGGTGTTAAAAATCCCATTTATGGAAACTGGTGAATTTATAACAGCTTTTTCACTTTCACCTTTCCAAAAGAAAAAATGAAATAATTTTTTTTTTTTTTATTACAGAAATGCATCCAAATCAACAAAAGGATGACCTTGTGAGAGCAAATGAAAATTAAATCTGCTGTGAATGTGAGATTTTCCCACATGATCAATATGACTGAAGTTGTTTGTTTTTTTTTTTTTTGTGGACGAATATTTCCAAGTCAAGATGAGGGATAATGCTGTCAGCCTCATAATAAATGAGACAGCAAGCTAAAATTTAATCAAAAGGTGCTTTAAGTTCAAGGGTATTCCTGCAAGGTTAATGCTCCTTTTTTATTTTTAAATGAAAACAGGTTTACTAGTTAGTCAGTTCAGCTGTATGGGCTCTATGTCGCATTATAGGTAGAAGAAAGTTTGAAACAATTCATCAAAAAACCTGGAATCTTAACAGGAGTGTGTAGACTTTTACAAGTTGCTGCATGTAAAGCTGTTTCTGCCAACTGCTGCTGTCTGCTCCTGTTCAGAGGTATTATCTTTATTAACCTCCATTTCCTTTACTTTCATAAAATGTTCTCCTATAACAGCAGTGATCTCTCTACCAGAAAACCTAAACTTTTGTTGTTCTTCTAGAAAGAAAAGGTTTTAATCTGAAAAAAACTTTTAAGCCTGAGGTATTCTTGACACTAGTTGGCAACATTTCTAAATGTGAAATAAGCTGTGCAGTGTTTTTTTTTAAATAAAATGTTATCATTAACATTATTTTATAGTTTTAAAAAAGTGTGATATTTTTATTATAATGGCCACCCCACATTCATAAATTTTTCAACATTTTTCCAAATCTCTCACCCATATTTTTATTTACTTATGTCTTTCATATCTTCACCCTTTTGTTGCTAAAGTTTCTTCCAAACTTTGTGTCAACCATGAATGTTTCTCACACACTGTTCTCTCTGAGATCTGATAGGGTAATCAAGATGAAGTCCGAGACGTTAATAGCTTGTTTACCCAGCAACAGATATGTCTGACAGCTCAGCTAAGCACAGGCAATTAAACCGCCTGCCTCTTTTCTCTGGATAAACATAAAAAAGTGAAAACAAATACTGCCGAGACAGGAACTGTTCCCACTGAACTCACATGAGCTGGTAAAGCCATGAGGAGCAATTAAAGTAACTGAGGCTCTATTGTTCACTGAAACTATCCAGGCCAGACAACAGACAGATCAATAAAATAAACCCAGATACAGATTCAACGATGCAGCAGCAAATCCCCCTGAGAGAAGAGGGTTTTAATTAAATGCTCTCATCACTGAGCATACACACACACACATCTTTCTCTGTGTTTATTCATCAGAAGCTTATGTAACTCCACACAACTCTTCCCTCAGACTCACACAGAGACAGAGGATCTAGGCTAGATGAGATGCATTTTCTGAAAGAGAGCACATTGAACCGTGACTAATCCAATAACAGGCAGAGGATTTAGCTGCTGTGAAAAGATGGAAAGATCAGGGGAAGGAGGCACTTTCCTTTTTATTTTATGCTTTCTGTTGCATAATTACCACACATGAAGACATGTTACCACACTCTGCTCCACACAAACAGGAGCAGAGAGGAAAGACGATGATCTCAGAAAGCCGCACATAATGTTTCACACTGGTGAGATCAGAGAAAGAGGCTCTGTTCAATCTCTTACAGAATGAAAAAAGGTTGTACAGTAAATAATCACGGCACAGAAACAATGGAGGGATTTTTCTGAAAAATAAAATAACTAAAAGAAACAGAAACTGTCTGGAGGTTTGTTAAGATTATAATCTCAAATGTTTTGCATTCCTTGCATTGTCTTCTTTTTCCCTTTAGTTAACTTCTGACAGTCAAAACACATAAGAAGACAAACCGTTGACAGCCTGGAGGCACACAGGCATCCTTTAATCTGTTACACAATAAGGCACTGGCTTCTGGCCAGGCACATCAACATGTGATGTCTTAGCATTTAAAAATGAAATAAAAATATGCATTACTCCTATTGAGACAGAGCTAAAATACAGAGAAACAGAGCAGAGAAATAACTGTGGAAATGAGGCTGCTCTTATGTAATCGCTTGCAACCACAGATACAGCGTCAGTAGTGCAACCCACACATGCCTTCATACAGAGGGACATAGATACACTACAGCTGCTACCTCGGTCCTCATACAGGTTAATATACAGCAGACAAATAAAACGTGTTCCTTAAATAGACTTCGCCCCTTGAAACTGATGTGTTTGTGGTCTGTTAATTCAGTAGGAATGTAGATGTCTACTCCTCAATTAGATTCTGACTAATGGCAGCATGTGTTATGAGCCAAGAATAAAACCAGACATGGCAAACATGTCTGCAGCCCACAACAGAGGAAATTAGATACCTGATGTGATAATTACTAAACTCTGCATACTGAAAGAGGATGAACAGAGGTATGTCAGTGAGTGTCAGGTGTAACTAAAGGTAACTTTAAAAGATATAGACTTTATTTAATGAAAGACTACATGGACTTTTTTTAAATCACCTTTATACAATAATGCTAGTCCCTCTGTTGGACAAAATCATACAGGTAAGAAACCTATCAATTACTAAATCAGGTATTTAAAGTTGTTAACTTTTACCTCTGGATTGGTATGAAAATGTTTGTCATGTATTCGTGTAGAGATAACATGCACACAGATCAAATCCACCCATGTAAAGCCTCCAGTTTCACTACTTTATATCCAGAGATGCACCTCCATAACTAAAACATCAGCATCATGTCTTTACACATGTTACTGTGAATTGATCTGTCTGTCATGCTGCCCCAGATTTTTAGACATGCCAAACCTAGAGATGCAATACATATACCATGTGTATGTTCCAGTGCTCTAAAATGTCTATGTAAATGCATTTCTAATGTTGCTGTACTATACAAATTATGCCACTCAATCTCATGCTATGCTGTGTAGATGTTCTACAGATTCACTCACATCAGCATGTTAAATGCTTCAACTCTATTTAACTACATTGGGGCTCAGTACCCTCTTTCACAAAACCCTACCATCATAGACCTGATGTCTCCTTTGAGCTGTCTAAGGCCATTCGTTAATCTCAAATTTTGATGGGAACGGCAATGAGCTCTTAACATGATGCCGGCAGTACATGACAATAAAAATCTGTTACAGAGGTCTCCCCATACTAAGCTTTTCAAAAATAATAATGTCACAGTCTTGTCGGCTGAGCAAATACTTCAATTCATTTCTCACTGCTTCTCTACAAGATAATAAAGACAACTTCACTTTAAATCCAAATTGAAACCATAATCTGTATTTCTGTGAAACTTATCTTCAGTTATATAGTCCTTCCTTTAATATAATTGCAGTCATTTATTATATGAACTAGACATCTTATTTCTCAGCTACTTTTTACCAATATTGTGAGCTTTTTAAGTAGCTTGCATATTTTAATTGTGCTAAAAATATGCTTCAATAGGAAATATAGAGTTGCATTGAACTAAATTTAATACACACTTGTGAAAAAAATAGGACACCCTACAACTGTCATTTTTGTATGGACATGTAAAAATTAAATAATATAAATGTGTATTACAACAGGTGCACATAACAGCATTAGTTAGCATTTTAAAGGAAATTGATCTGTTTAAACTTCAGACATATGTACTGTTATGAGAGGAAACAACATGATAACATCAACAGAGCAGTCTGAGGCCTTCATAAACAATATTGTGGTGATTCTGTTACAGATTCTGGAAAAGGGCTTAAAGAGTCTAAAAAAATTCAATTACAGATAATAATCTTCAAGGAGAAGATATTCAAACAACTCCCAATATGCCGAGTTGTGGCTGTCATTGAGACCAGACTACAATGTGCTAAAGAAATCTCCAAAAACAACAAAATCTTCTCACGTGAGCTACAGCAGCATCTTGCTACTGTTGGTATGAAAGTACATAAAAACACAAAGTGTGGCCTGAGGTGTACCACAGAGTGCGCAGACCAAGGCCAGGACTTCTGAAAAAAGATTTTTGGACAGATGAGTCTAAAGCACAGGACTCAAACTCCAGTCCTGGAGGGCCACTGCCCTGAGACCTTTCGATGTGCCTCTGCTGCACCACACCTGAACAGAATAATTAGCTTCATTAGCAAGGCTCTGGAGAACTGATCTACACAAGTCGGAGGTAATTTAGCCATTTCATTCCAGTGTTTTGTACCTTTGGCACATCTAAAAACTGCAGGACAACAGCCCTTGAGGACTGGAGTTTGACTAAAGACTAAAAACTAGAAAAACAAATGGAAGTGTCCTGGACTC